TGTGAGGAGTTTGTCAAGCATTATTTGCCATATAGGAGGACATGATATTACATAAGAAGTTCAGTACTATTTTATTTAAATTTCTCTTGCTTCAGATCTCTTCTTCATCTGTGAGGAGATTCTCCAGCATTCACTGCCATATAAAGGACAATTGGAAATAACAGTTCAACGTAAATCCTTTTCTTTGTTTCTCTTGCTCAAAGTATCTTCTTCATCTGTGAGGAGATTGTCCAGCATTCAAACATATAGGAGGACTGAAATTACATAACAGTTCAGTACTCTTTTCTTTGTTTCTATCTTCAAGTGTCTTCTTTCATCTGTGAGGAGATTGTCCAGCATTCCCTGCCATATAGGAGGAAATATTACATAACAGTTCAGTACTCTTTTCTTTGTTTCTCTTGGAAAAAGTCTCTTCTTCATCTGTGAGGAGATTGTCCAGCATTCCCTGCCATATAGGAGGACTGATATTTTATAACAGTTCAGTACTCTTTTCTTTTTTTTCTCTTGCTTCAAGTCTCTTCTTCATCTGTGAGGAGATTGTTAGCATTCCTGCCATATAGAAGTTTGATATTACAAAAACAGTTCAGTTTTTTTGTTTTGTTTTTTCTTGCTTTAAGTCTCTTCTTCATCTTATGAGGAGATTGTCCAGCATTCACTGCTGATATAGGAGGACTGATATTACATAACAGTTCAGTACTCTTTTTTTTTGTTTCTTTCTTGATTTTAAATTCTTCTTCATCTGTGAGGAGTTTGTCCAGCATTCACTGCCATATAGGAGGACTGATATTGCATAAGAGTTCACTAGATATGTGTTAAAGGCCTTGATAATCTTCCCAAAATCAAGAAGAAATTTGAAGCATGAGAAACAAATAAAAGAATAGTGAACTGTTATGTAATATCAGTCTTCCGAGAATGAGAAGATAGAGAACAGTATATAAGACGCACATTTTTTTACTAAAAATATCTTTTAAAATTCCCCTGCATCTTATATATCATATGTAGGTTAAATAATTTTACTAATTACTAATTTTTTGTTGACTTATCCTGCTGAAACTGGGCTGCGTCTTATATCCCCATGCGTCTTATATGCAGTCAAATACGGTAATCACTAGTTACTTACCATCGCCTGAAGAAGTACAATCATAGTATTGAAACATAACTTTATTTCCAATTAAGAATTTCATACATGTTTGAATCATAATCTTTCAAAACAAAAAATAATTATAATATATATATATATATTAAAAATGGACAAGGTCCGACAAATTTATTTATTAAAGACATTTTTTTATGTTTAACGTTGTTATTTCATAAAATTATTTAATAAAAATATGTTTTAATAAATAAATTGTCGGACCTTTGTCCATTTCTTAATATATGACGTCATTTGTTTACATTCGATACGCCAGAGCAGTTATGAATGTACGAGATTCATGGAAGATTGGAGTTTATAAGCAGTAAATTCGACCTTGTCTACCGATTGGTTCTTTGTTTAAGCGGTAAGGCACGTCAGCGTATATGACGGTTCCGTATAGGATGCAGGTTCGAATCCTGTCAAAGAACAAAAAAAATTTTCTATGAAAATTTCTCGGACATTCAGGCCGGTAAATGTTATTTAATACTGTTTATCATAAACAGAGCATTTGCTTAAATACTTGTATCTATGAAATAACAACGTTAAACATAAAAATATGTCTTTAATAAATATATATATATATATAAGATATTTATCTGCTTCAAGGTTAGCTTGTCCGTAGATAAACAAGTTCTCGAATACGAAAAGCATTTTGGGTTTAATGCTGTGAGTGAACGCAGGTCTTGATTCTATAAATTCAGATCGGAAGATCTATCTCTTTGCGAGGAACCCCGCAGTGACAAGCTACAGGTCGCGGATAATGAACCCCTGAAGGCGGCCATAGAGGAGGACAATACTCAAACTTGTGGAGATTTGTGGAAGGCTTCCACGCTTATGATGAATCAGTCACCGAACAGGGAAGGCGTACAAGTTGAGCAAATGGTGACCCACACACTGTCAGAAGACAACACGCAACAACGAGTGACAGCCTTCTTTCTCGTTGCTTTCTCATCACCTCAACCTACCCATATTTTGTGGAGAGCTCAAAAGTGACGAAAAGCGGGTAGTGTGCTAAACATTGGTTCTCACCAAGGGTCCCTGTGCCTCACGCCGGAATTACAACACTTCACCCACGCCAGATCATGGCCTGTATCTGGTGAACTGGTCGATAAGTGGTGGACTATGAGCAGATACCAAAACAATCAATGAGCACCTGTACTTATAGCGATTATAAGGAGGAGGAAGGATTCGTTAAAGGTCCTCATGTGGTGTTGGTGGCCAGAGATGTCATATAGCGACATGGATTGCATATATTGCTACATCCACCTTTGGCCCCGGGACTTGCGTCAATAGATATATTGTTTGAGATAGATAAAAAAAGTCTTAGATAGATAGATAGATAGATAGAAGCAGATTCATATACCTATCTATGTATCTATCAAACTAGAAAAAGAAACAGTTTCAGATAGATAGATAAAAGAAGATTTAGGTAGATAGATATCAAGAAAGAAACAGACTGACATAGATAGATAGATAGATAGAAGCATATTCATATATTTATTTCTGTATCTATCAAACTGGAAAAAGAAAGTTTTAGATAGATAGATAGATAGATAGATAGATAGATAGATAGATAGATAGATAGATAGATGAGAATAGGATGAGATAGATAGATATGATTAGACTGAGATAGATATGAATAGACTGAGATAGATAGATAGATAGATAGATAGATAGATAGATAGATAGATAGATAGATAGATAAGAATAAACTGAGCTAGATAGATAGAAGCATATTCATATATTTATTTCTGTATCTATCAAATTGGAAAAAGAAAGTTTTAGATAGATAGATAAATAGATAAGAATAGGCTGAGATAGATAGATAGATAGATAGATAGATAGATAGATAGATAGAATAGATAGATAGATAGATAGATAGCAAATTCATCTACGTATTTATCAAGATAGATAGATAAAAAGAAAGAAACACTTTTAGATAGATAGATAGATAGATAGATAGATAGATAGATAGATAGATAGATAAGAAACCAGTTATACAAAAAGGTTAAATCATCAGATAAATAATAGAATACGTGATTAATTTCTGCCGATATAGACAAATACATATATAAACATTATGGGATCGATAAGATCGCAGAGTATGTGAGACAAAAGCCAAAGGAAAGAGTTGTTTAAAGAATGCAACACACGAAGAAAATGAGTTATCAGAAGGAAATAGATCGCGGCCATGTTCTACTCATTTTGTATACATGTCGACATTTCAGGTAATGGGATGAAACGTTTTGTTTAACTTCCGGGCAAAGAAACACTTCCGCTTTCTATCACTCTTCTTTCACTCAAATATTTAAACCTCTATTTATGCAAAAAGGTCATGGTCGTCTTACGTATCCCTTGGAAAAGAAATAATCTTGTAGCCATCTATACACACACACACACACACACACATATATATATATATATATATATATATTATAATTATTTTTAAAAAGTATGTTTCTATCGCGACACAGAAATTTCTGTTTCAAAACTTAAACTTCAATCCCAAATTTAATTATAAAAATTAAATTTAAAATCCAGATTTTCGGTAAATTGTCAAGCGATGTTTAAGTTTGATTTATTTATTTTACTTTTTTGTCAAGCGATGTTTAATTTTTATAAAACATTAATACTGATACAGAAAAGAGCGCTAAATTTATTTATTAATATATATATATATATATATATATATATATATATATATATATATATATATATATATATGTAAACATCCGACGTTACATAATCCAAGTGAATCCTGATAATATAAAATACTGAAATTGATCCACTGATCATATAAATTGCATAAAAACAAATCTTCTTATAAATTACTATATCTAATTTTTCAATTTTTTTTATAGTAGCATGACATGATTATTCCTATATGAGTTATGGGCACATCAACACGTGTGTAACTCCGGTTATCATCCCCGTATCTAGACATCACTACTCCCCTATCCCTTCTTCTTCTTCTTCTTCTTCTTCTTCTTCTTCTTCTTCTTCTTCTTCACTATTCCCTTCACTCTTTCCTTATTTATTTTTTTTCATTTTCTTTCTTTTTCTACTGCCTTATTTAAATGATTTGCTTTAGGATTTCATTTTATATTATCGAAATATAGAAATTATATAGAAACGTTTGAAAATCCTTGCAAATATTGTAAGTAATTCCTCTGTATATATATATATATATATATATATATATAGATAAGTTATGAATAACTTGGTAAACCGAATGGGTAATTCCAAGGAGGATGGAATCCTGAGAGCTCAATGTGAATACAGAGCTAATATTTAATGAAAAACAGACCACTTTAAGGTACCATTAGAAAAATTTATTTCACCAAAATCCTTTTTAAAGGACGCCGGATCATCAGGTAACACTTCCAACAATGAAATGAAATGCTTAAGAGAGATATGAAATTAACCCCTCCCTATACTCTACCTTGACTCTTTACCTACCACTCTCACCCTCCCCCTGTTAAATTACAAAAATTACACTACCCATCAATTTCTAATCCCATTTTTTCCTTTCATTTCGTTGTTGGAAGTGTTACCTGATGATCCGGAGTCCTTTAAAAGGATTTTGGTGAAATAAATTATTGTAATGGTACCTTAAAGTGGTCTGTTTTTCATTATATATATATATATATATATATATATATATATATATATATATATATATATATATATATATATATATATCTTGGGATAAAAGTTAATACATCTAGAAAAATCCGATGTTTATTTCAGCAGGCAAGATTTTAATACGTGCCTCATCAGACTGGATTTACGAATTGACATATATATATATTGTCAATGCAAAAAAAAGGTGTTAAAAATGAATTTTATCGATTTAAAAAAATAATTAAAGAAGGAAGGAAAGAAAGAAGAAAAAACATAAAAGAAAGAAAAGAAGAAAGAAGAGGAACAAACAACAAATAAGGGAGAAGAAGAAGAAGAAGAAGAAGAAGAAGAAGAAGAAGAAGAAGAAGAAGAAGAAGACACACAGGAGATCATAACATAGATAAGTCTAGACATAAATTAAAACCGGTTAAAATTTAACAATGAGCTATATTTAACATATGAACACTTGTTAAAAAGGGTAAAGCTTACATACTTACTTAGATAAAGGTTAAAAAAGAAGGGTCTAGAAGATTATTTGATAAAGGAAAATTATAAAATAAAATAATACTATTATATAATTCTAATATTGTATAAAGAAAGTTTTTATTTAAAATTTTAATACTAATAACTCATATTAAATTACTATATGATTATATCAAATTATTATTGAGATAAAGTTATTAAAAAAAGTATATTTAATAATTAAATAGTAAATAATAATTTAATAACTTACTACTTATTTATTTAGTCTAATGTAATTATATATTCTTATACATTAGTATTAAGTTAATTTATTAAATTAATATTAATTCTTATATAGCAAAAATTTTGATTAGTAAATTATTAATTTATATTAATAATAATTCATATCAAATATTAACATATTATATGTTAATAATATTTAAATATTTAATATTTATTTTTATTTATTAATATATATTTTTATTTTATGTTTATTTCATATTTATATTAATTATTTTAATATTCTATTAAGGATTATATTTAAATTCATTATTAAAAAAATAAATATTATAATAAAAAATAATTTGGCATTTTTAGTAAATAACCAAGAAAGAAATATAAAAAAATAATATATATAAATTAATAATAAATTCTTCATTTATCTTATTAATTTTTTACGTGTGAAGTGAAAAACGCTAAGGTTATGTTCTTTACAATTTCAAATTTTATCATGTAGACACACCTGTGAAAAGATTATAGGTGACTATCAACCTGGCTACCTTTATGGAAATGTAAATATACATAAAATATCATCATCTCTGACCTATCATTTCAAACATACCTACATTAGTATATTACCTTTCAAAAACCCTTAAGAATTCAATTAATCTGTACCCCACCCCCAAGTAAATATTGTATTGACTCCAGAAATGAATTTAAAAAACACTGTGTTCGAATCCTATTATTTGGGTCCATTTTATAGAATTCTTTGTTAACTTTTTAATAAATATTTATGATTGACTACTTCATTATTTAAATAATAACCGTTACGATAATACAATGGACGTTGATACACATAATGCACCATTGACAGCATATATATATGCCCAGACTCGTAGCACACCGAGCTACTCCATCGTCTCTCGAGACGGGCGGATGCCGATATATATATATATATATATATATATATATATATATATACATATAAGGTATGTTAAATAAGATGTTTCTACCATTATTAAATACTATTTTACATATGTTTGGTTTTTGTTTTTTAATAAGGATGGCTTCAAACATTTGTAATCGTTTTTTGCATTTGTTTTTTATTGAGGATTTTTTACTTTCTTACTTTGTTGGGCAGTGTGTTGTTACAAGATTTTTATGGCGCTGGTGTCATTAAGGTTCTTTGCGAACCTACATGAGAGTTTTGTGGTTGTGTGCCTCATGTATTTTGTTTATTATATATATATATATATATATATATATATATATATATATATATATATATATATATATTTGGCTCGCAACTCATATCCGACATAAGACCCCCTACTGGTACAAAAAAATCGCCTATACGTACCTGAGAGAAAAGAATGCGCGCACGGAGGTGACACTTGATAATCTGCTACAGAAAACACATACATAGGGACTGGTGCATCAGGTATATGATCTCCATGCCTACGCAAATGATTCACAAGACCAGCCTTGGAGAGAGAGATTCTCCCACATGAATCACAAGTGTGACATTATTTACTCTGTATTTAAGTATTAAGGGACCAAAACTTGTCCTTTCTGGCAGTATGTTCTATATACTGAATATTGATTCGACATAATTCAAACAGGGAAATCTGTTTGAAGCCATTTCTTACCAATTTTTCACAGTAGAAATGTACCGAGCAGGATCTTCATCTCTGCTTCATCGACCTTGGGATGGCACACATACATACATACATACATACATACATATAGATAGAGAGATAGATAACATATTAAAAAGATATATCCATAAAAGAGAGCTCAGTATACAGTATATATCAGTATACAAAGCAATAATTTAAAAACCCATATTGTCTGGACAAATTTAAAACATTTTGTAAAATTATACCATTTGTAATTTCGATCTGATTAGACAAGTATTAAAAATTACTTGCCGAACTGAATTATGATTTATTATCGCTTTTTATGATGCGTTAAGTTTTTTCTTGATATATATATATATTATGACATTTTTATGTTTATACGTTCTTTTTGAAGATACAAATATTTAAGTAAATGCTCTGTTTATAATAAACAGTATTAAACAACATTTACCGGCCTGAATGTCCGAGAAATTTTCACAGAAAATATTCGTCCTCCGACTATACGGAACCGTCATTTAGCTTGACGTGCCTTTAACCGATTTGGCCACAGAGGCGCGTTCGGTTAGCAAGGTCGAATTTACTGTCTTTAAACTTCAATCTTCCATGAATCTCTCACGTACATTCATGTCTGCTCAGGGCGTATCAAATGTAAACAAATAACGTCACACATTATGAAATGGACAAAAGTCTTGACAAGTATTTTAAGACATTTTATGTTTATATATTTTTATAGATACAAATATTTAAGTAAATATTCTGTTTTATAATAAATGTATTAATTAAACATTTACCGGCCTGAATGTCCGAGAAATTTTCACACAAATATGTATAGGATACAGGTTCGATTCCTGTCGGAGACTGAATATTTTCTGTGAAAATCTCTCGGATATCCAGGCCGGTAAATGTTGTTAAATACTGTTTATTATAAAACAGAGCATTTGCTTAAATATTTCTATCTATAAAAGAATGTATAAACATAAAAGTGTCTTTAAAATAATTGTCTGACTAACGTTCATTCATATATATATATATATATATATATATATATATATATATATATATATATATATATATATATATATATATATATAATCCATTATTTTACAGAGTCCTCTCAAAGATTTATATACATAGCAGAGGAAAGGAAAAACTTGTATAAACTTTGTAATACTAAATATAAGTTAACTTTGGACTCTACAGACACAAGAGAGGATCTGTTGTCTTTGGACTTCAACAACAGTCTCAAATTTGATTTAAAATAATGTCACATTCTTCAAACGACAAACGTTGATCCGCCATGTTGTAGACGACACCTGTTGATGCTGCAGTCATGTGACTAATGCCATCGGCACAGAAAGTATCGTAATAGAATGAACAGAAAACAATAATACGTTTGTGGTATTATATATATATATATATATATATATATATATATATATATATATATATATATATTAATTATTTATTTAAAATATGATTTAAATAAATAATTACATTTATGCTCTACTTTTGTATCGAGCACTATTTTTTAAAAATAATAACAAAAATACTAAAGAAGTTTGGATTATTTACCTAACGAGTTCTTTCCTATTTTTATATATTTTTCACGCACACACACACACACACACACACACACACACACACATATATATATATATATATATATATATATATATATATATATATATATATATATATGTATGGTCGATTTTCAGGAAGGAGACTTTTTGGTGTTATCAGTCTAAAGCGAGGACGATCCCAGCGTGCTGCACCTTTGGGAAGTGCTTGAAAACCATACCACATGTTGTCCGAAGCCTTGTGAGTGAAATTGGGTAGGCAGAACACTTGGGGCCGTCGATAGTTGTGCTAGCACGAAGTCACAAGTCAGCGTGAGCGAGGGTTTGAGTGTGCTGGTGTTGTACAGATTGTTGATAATTCTAGGTAACATACTCTCTCCCAGAAACTGTAACTAAGGTCTGCTCAGCACAGTTGCAGTATAAACCACGGGTAGGTGCTATGGGTATTGAACAAACAAAAATGTGCCTGAGTGAGCGTCTGCAATAGGGATTGGCTAGCAACCTGAGTAGACGGGTATCCTCGAATACGAGTGGCCAGCTATTATTAATATTATTATTATTATTATTAATAATATTACTATATATATACACACACACACAGACATATATATATATATATTTATATATACATATATATACATATACATATATATATATATTATGAAACTGACAAATCCGACAATTATTTTAAGACATTTTTTATGTTTATACATTCTTTTTGTACATACAAATATTTAAGTAAATGATTTGTTTATAATAAACAGTATTAACAATATTTACCGGCCTGAATGTCCGAGAAATCTTTATAGAAAATATTCGTCCTGTATCCTATACGGAACCGTCATTTAGCTTGACGTGCATTACCGATTTGGCTGCAGAGGAGCGTTTCTGTTAGAAAGGTCGAATTTACTGTCTTTAAACTGCAACCTTCTATAATTCGCCCACGTTCATTCACATCTGCTCAATGCGTATCCAAAGGTAAACAAATGACGTCACACATTATGAAATAGACAAAGTTTGACAAATATTATATTTGTCCATTTCATATCGAGAGAAAAAGAAAAGGGGAGAGAGAGAAGGAACAGTTTGAGATCGATAGATAGATAGATAGATAGATAGATAGATAGATAGATATAGATAGATAGATAGATCAAATAAGTTAGGTAGGTAAAAATACAATGTAAAATCTGAATATTTCAAACGAAAACGACGAATGCTGACAACACAGTCACATCGAACCATTAGCAACCGTGACGTTTGAGCACAAGTGTCCGCGTCTACGACTTCCTGCAGATAAAAAGACGAAAATACTTCCATTCATGATCCGTTCCATTGGCACTAGAATCGAATGGTAGAATCGTATGAAAGATGTTCATGCTAGTCCGTTTCAGACGAGACGATGGAGATTTAAATGGCTGGCATTGGTCCATGTTCAGAATAATCGGTTGTCTGAACGTAAAGACGCCATTGTCATTATTTCGCGGCCTATATACTGACTGAAACAGCAAAATTGTCCAAATCGTGTAACAGCATAATTGTCCATCACCAAAAATGTTTAATTTCTAAAAGCAAAAAAACTAAACTAAATGAGTTCCTTTTTTTCAAGTTTTCAGATCAGACGTTTAGCCATCTGGACACAATTTGTCGTAAGAATCGCTGAAAAAAAGCTATATATATATATATATATATATATATATATATATATATATATATATATATATGAAGAAATATAGTCTTATATTATTAGAATAAAAAGAAAAAAACAGTAAAATATATAATCCGATGATCTTATTGATATTTTTATTATTACATAACAGTGCTCAATATAAATTTGCAGAGTATAAATATTATAAATTAATTGAATTAAATAACTTTTCTTCGCTACACAGGAATTAACATGTTTCAAAAAACGAAGCTAAACACTTCAAATTTAATTTATATAATTAAATTAAAAGCATTTGTTCTGTTTCATTTTCAAGCAAATTTTGAAATAACTTATTTACTGAGTTTTAAACGCACATGCAATTCAATGGTCAATGATGCTGTTAAACGAATTGGGCAATTTTGCATTTATATATATATATATATATATATATATATATATATATATATATATATATATATATATATATATATATATACAGTTATAGTTAAAATATTTTTGGGGATGTAACAGTCAAGATAGATCAAATATTGGCCATCATAAAGACTGAAAAATAAAATTAACAAAGATTATTGTTTAAGGTTGATAGACACGCATGTCTTCATTTGTTTTGTTTTTTTTTTGTTTTGTTCTTTTCTTACGAATTGGTCAAACCCAAACTCAAACAAAAACATTGTTTTCAATCGTTATGAGTCTATAGGAACAGACGAAAGTTTGTAAAAAATTAAAAAGACCTTATGCAACTGGAATTTATAAACAGGGATCATAGCATTCATATACAGGTTCGGGGTTGGTGTATCTTATTTATATTGTTTTGAAGATGTATTCTCGCCATTTAAATCAATAACCTCTATATTTGTTTTTGTATGAATGAATGATTGAATATATATATATATATATATATATATATATATATATATATATATAAAAATAAACCATCATCTTTTTCATTAAGATTTTATTAACAACTCAGTAAAAAGCCATGGTGACGGTAGAATTAGTAGGTAAACGTCCATACACATAGATCAATCGCTCTTGGTGTCGATAAATCTATGACTGCTTCGCAAATCTACTAACGCGTTTTTTTTTTTTTTTTTTTTTTCACGAGGCAGTTTACCGTGCCTTTCAAAACTCCCTTTAGCTCTGTAGCCACTGTGGCCATGACGGGTAATGCTGTAGAAAACTTAGTTGAACCTTTCAAATATACCCACACTGTGTAGAATTGTTTCGCAGGCCTTCATGATACATTGATGAAGCATCTCTGCGTAAACCAATTGTTTTAGGAGGCCCCACAGACAAAAATCCAATCCTCTCCTACCTATCAATATTTTCTGCTAGATCCAGCCAGTACATCGCGAACAAGGTGACTAAAGTATGCTGGAGCCTCATCATGCATGAATCACGTGCGTCTTAGTATTAGCAGGAGTACTTCCTCTAGCAGATCTGGAAGTGTGTTCCAAATAAAGTCCTGTAGACGTTTCCTGTAACACGTGCTAGGGGAATATATGGACCTACCAGAATTAATTATAATCCAACCCACATATTAATCTTAAACAGCTGCTGGTGTTTAGCCTGTCTTGTACCCTGGGGATTCTGATCCGCCCATAAATACTGGTTGTGTAAATTTGTTATTCCATCTCTTCCAAATGTTGCCTCATCCATAAGCAAGACTTAAGAGACAAAGAACGGTTCGGCAGTTTGTACAATAAAGCATCAGCAAAGATCCTCCTATGATGATTTATCAGAGGGCAAAGGACCCTTCACACGTTGCAAATGATACGGATACGATAGCTGCTCTTGAAGTACCCTACATGAGGTACTATGAGATATATAACATGCTACGTCTATTTGTGCTGATACCTGGATCGTCTTCGACAGCCAGTAGAATGTGTTTTTCGTGGCCAGGCGTACGAACGGATTTCGGTCTTCCTCGATCCATATTTTGTGGTGCCACGGAGACTGTCTCAGCAACGTGACGATATTCAGCAGCAAATGTTGAACGACGCTTCTGCCTTCGGTCTAGAAACGCAATATGATACAGCCGTACAGCCTCGTGTCCATTACCATTCATGCGGCCGTATGTAAAAATCATATCTGCCTGCTCCTGCTATTGTTAAACAGAACAATTCTCACTTAAAACACGTTAAAGTTTGAAGGCAGACTAGCCAAAAATTTACCTGAATGACAAATGTAACCTAGTCTAGATGGCAACACAACGCCAAACTTTGTTTAAACTTAATATCTCAACAACGAAAGAATTTCGGATATATGTTTTATATAGACATTTTTAATTTGTTTTGGTCTTAGAAAGCAACACCAATTGTAAAATATATATATATATATATATATATATATATATATATATATATATATATATATATATATATATATATATATATATATATATATATATATATATATATATATATATATATATATATAAAAAAAATATATATATATATATAACGTTTTTTTTATTTACAAGTATTTAAGTAAATGCTCTGTTTATAATAAAAAGTATTAAATAACATTTATGGCCTGAATGTCCGAGAAATTTTCATAGAAAATATTCGTCCTTTGACAGGATTCGCACATGCATCCTATACGGAACCGTCATTTACGCTGACGTGCCTAACCTCTCGGCCACAAAGGATCGCTCGGTTGGCAAGGTCGAATATATATATACGTATTTTGACGTGTGTAGTAGTGAGTCAAGTTTTTTTAATATATTTTTTAATATATTTTATTCTTTAATATGACATTTTTTATTAATTATAATATGTTTAAATTATAATTTTACTTAATTTTAATATAATTTATCTAAATATAACTAATTTTTATATATTTAAATATACCTTATTTTTAAATATAACTTATGTTTGGAAGAGTATTTTTAAGTAGGAACTTTTTATCTTAACCCCATCTATATAATTTTTTTTAACAACCCCCCTTAATTTCAAATTAACACTTCATTCTACATATAACCCCAAATTAATGTCATGAGTTAATATCCGGATTTAATTTTTTAAAACTTGTTCCATTTAAGACTAACAGCTCCCACTCTCCTCTGACCACTGTCTCGTGCCTTTCGTCTGACTGAAACATTGAAATGTATAAATTCTAGATTACTTTTTCGACACTTGTCACATTCAGTCTATATACCGGGGTTGGATAAGACTGATTAAATTTTCGTTAGTTGAAAAATATTTATTCCCCATATGCAAAAATTTTGGAATTTTTATTTTACTATATATATATATATATATATATATATATATATATATATATATATATATATATTAAAATAATATATATGTTAAAATAATAATAAAGAACAGTAGAGCAAAATAATATAATTAATTTCTATTCAAAAAAATGATTCCATCGCGACAGAGAAAAGTTTCATGTTTAAAAAATGGAACTTAATTTATAAGCGCAGACAATATTAATATTATGAGTTGTTCAGGTTAAAGAAAATTCAATCTATTTTAATTTTAAAAAATAACAGATAAGAAAGATGAAACATACATTTTTTATATAGATCATTAATTACTAATTAAATTTTAATATATTTATTTGTAAAAATACTGTATAATCTCTTAGTTATTAGAAGGTCGAATGGTACATTAAATCTGTAAGAATTAAATTTAAATATTTAAAATATGCCTTGCACATATTTAGATGACCCTTTTAGATAACCTTTGTGCATTAAAATATTAATTAAGAGCATGAATGAAAGTGCCAATATTTTTTGTCATTGAAAACCCAGACGACACAATAACTGAATAACGTTTGTTAGCAGGCACCCCCATTCAATCTAAATTTAATCTGACTTTGTAACGTATATTGGATACATAAGCTGTCTAGGTAAATTCTAGCGTAACCACACCTTAATTAAAATAGATTGAATTTTCCTTAACCTTAACAACTCATAATATTAATATTGCCGGCGCTTATAAATTAAGTAAATTTCTTAGAAATTTATCACTATCATCGCTTGACAATGGAACGAGACCATGAATTTTAAGTTAAAATTTTATAATTAAATTTATTTAGTTTCAGTTTTGAGACATGGAAAATTGTGTGTCGCGATGGAATCATATTTTTAAAAAGAAAATAATTATATATATATATATGTGTGTGTGTGTGTGTGTGTGTGTGTGTGTGTGTGTGTGTGTTTGTAAATGTGTGTAAAAAATGTGTATATATATATAAATATATAAATATATATATATATATATATATATATATATATATATATATATATATATATATATAATATATATATATATATATTATTTATATATTATGGTCGGTACTTAAAAGAAGACGCTCAATATCAGAGATAGAGCTAACATATTCAGTTGGATAGATGTGAGTTTGTGACCCTGGGTTTCACGCTTTAGCGATCGTCAGACAAACTGATTAATTTTTTAAACATTTTGGGTTTATCTAGATTGCGTGTATTGGTGTTATTGTGGAAGGAGGGGAAACGTCGTCGTGATGTCATCGTGCTAACGCAAGCATCGATGCATATTCATACGCCCGATGAGGTACGCAGACACACATACACACTTGGTCGTCTGTCGGGACTCATACATATATAAACATATGTGGACAGTTTCGGATATGACATATGTATGTATACGGGTGG